GTAAAATGAACCGCACCTTTCTCCAATTTCTGTTGACCAATGTTTTTGACCACGAATGAATAATCCATCAAGAAAATTCAACAAAGTAATACCTCGCTCCTTTGCAATATAGCTAATTGGATTTGCTAAGTTTAATTGTTATAGTATTCATTTATAAATAATGAGAAAACTCGGATGCCTAATTCAGCATTAACATAATTTACAATTAATACTCACATATATATTTATATAAAATCCTCCATACCATTTCATTACTTTCTGTTGACAGAACAGTATTATTATTTAATTCTGCGTCCAGATTGGTGCTCGGGTATAACAAGCGTAAAGCTGTGGCCAATTGTAATTATTACAAAATAGATTTTTTCTTTTAGATATTAGTACATAATGCGTTGAGGTTGACAGCGTATTATGCATTAAGTATTCATAATTTAAAAATGTTAGTATATTCACCTGTTCTAGACTCTGGAACAGTGTAAAATAATTGCCTCAAATTTCCATCTTTATCCAGATCCTTTTGAGCTTCCAAAATTCTACTTGTGGGATATTGGGTTTTACACATTAGCTGCCAGACATAGTCGTCGTGGAAAAGTTTATAGAACTTTCTATTTGCCTATTTGTACAATAAATGTAAGAAAATTTAGAAACAACGTTTATTGTTGAAGACCAATGAAAAAATCAAAAAATCATACTAAAGAAATGGAGCAAATATCCTCCGGTTTAGTATGTCCAAAAATTTTAACGGTAATCTCGTTAGGGAGGCTTAAAAGACGACTTAATGCTTTGGAATCCGACATTCTATACAGAAACGAAAATAGACAAGAGTTGTTAGGATTATCAACAAAACCGTTCTATACAGATTAAATAAAGACAAATTGATCGACGCTTTGATTGTAATAATATTGGTAAGATTATCCGTGATACTGTACAGTACATATTAAAGGGATACTCTTTTTATGGGTAAACGAGGGATGTTACAGTATGCGTTACGCGCTTCAGGAGCAGCATAGTGGAAAATTAGGAAATTTGACGCGTTCGAACTTAATTTCATGACGCGTCCAGGATAAATGAATTAAATAGAAAGGGCATCTCGTGCAAAAAGAAGCCACAACAGGCGTAATGCGATCATATAATTCTCATGATTCTCCTCACTCCAAGAAGTCGTATTCCCTCTCATATAGATGGTGGGTGCTTTTATTTGACATGATCAATATGCAATTGTATACGAGTATGTTAAATACTAAAACTAATAAACAAAGATAATACGCCAAGAAATTATTTGGATTAAAAAAATTGAATGTTTTTGAACGACTCATAACTTGTCACATGATTTTATAGAACATGCACGTAACTCTATTTTTGATTATACAAATAGTACAAACCCTTCACAATAGTAATTCTTGTTAGATGCACAAACCTTAATTATTTAACTTCAATAAGACCAGTGAAAACTGCACTCGGGATACAA